AACAGCTCAATTGTTTTTACATTGAGAATAGGAAATGTTTCTTGAGCAGCAAATAAACATATCAGAATGATTTCTGAAGGACGTGACACTGAAAACTGGAGTAATGACTGCTGAAAATTCAACTTTGCCATCACAAGAATAAATTACATTTAAAAATATAGTAAAATAGAAAACATTTGTTTTAAATTGTAATAATAATTTACAATATTACTCGTATATTATTATTATTATTATTATTATTATTATCAAGCATATGTGGCCTTGGTGAGCATACTGATAATTTAATATTTCATCCACTGATATTTAAAAATGTTTTACATACACCTAACAGCAGAGACTGATATTATTTGATCGTGATATTCATTTTGCCTATTTGAACTTTTCAGATCAGACTTCTGCTTTTGAATTGTTTTGTTTGAAAAGGAACACAATTCAGTTGGACTCACACAAAAAGGTGCTGTTTTAAAGATTAAAAAGCTGCTTTTAAGTAATGTTATAATTATGTAAATAATTCATTGAACATTACTGAATTGGTTTAGTTATTAGGGCGCAGCTATGACATTACAAGACAGATGTTGTCAAATTTAATTTGATCACTAATGTAATGTTAAATATCAGTCTGCCGTATACCCGTATATCTGTAATTGATAAGATGACAGGATTTAGGTTCGCAAACAGCTCACTTTGCATCAGGACAGCTGTGGACCAAAAGCCTAGCCTTGGTTATTTACTTCTTGATGGTTATCTTTTGTGAATTCCAAGCGAGGCTGTTGTCCTAATTGGCGTTGATTACCGTGAGAGTAGCACAGGTACGCCCAGGTGATGCTGACGATTCAAAGGCATCTTTTCAGCCAGTGATGTTGTTTGGAGTGTCCTTGTGTCTCTGCGTGAAGGAGCTGAAGTGGAACGGCGGCCATAGCGCTCCTCCTGTCCCTTCACTCAATCACTCACACTAATTAACCTCCTGGCTCTCAGACTAATGGACAGTTAGTGCCTCTATGAGCTTCACATCAGCCTACAAAAGACTTCTGAATATAATGCTTGCTGCTCATTTACGCCTTCAGTTTATGTTTTTTATGAAGTGATTATAACAGGTGTTGCAAGTTATTAAGTGTGAAGATTTATTGTCAGTGCATCTGCTTTCAATATATAACCCAGTGAAAGTAGGTAGGAGACAGGTTATTTGAGGAGAGAGATGGAGAAAAGGGGATTATGATGCAAGCCAGAATCAAACACACGTTTCCTGCATGTGCATCAAGTCTGCAAGGCCACAGTTCCATCCCAAACACATTCTCAGCTTCATGATGAATAAATAGTATTTTTTAAATAATTAGTTCAAAAAAGGACACAAGCCAGAATTAAACCTGCATCCCTTGCATGAGCACCACAAATCAACATGCAAATTGCTAGGTCATGGTTCAAAGTGAAGGCCATTTTCAGTGTCATCATGATAAATAACTGATCTCGTAGCATTTAATGAATAGTTCAAAAAGACACAAGCTTGACATTCAAGGCTCCACATGTCAACAGCTAGGCCACGGTTCACACAAACACATTCTCAACACCATTGTGAAGATCTGACTTTGTAAATGTTTTATTAATAGATTAAATTGCGAGAATCGAAATTGCATCTCTTATATAAGCTCCAAGGCTCATCGTGTCAACTGCTAAGCAGCGGCTCACACAAACACATTCTCAACACCATGGTAAATATGTGATCTTGTAGCATTTTTCTTAATGAATATATAAAAAAAAAAAAGAAGGACACCTGCATCTCCTGCACCAAGACTCAACATGTCAACTGCTAGGACATATTTCAGACAAAACTCACTTTCAGCGCCATGATGAATATCTGATTTTGTAGCATTTTTCTTAATGAAAAGAATAAACAGACATGCACTAAAATTGAATCCACCAGCTCTCCTGCATAGCAAATAACTGATCTTGTAATATTAGACAGGATCACAAAATGTTTTATTGTGTGGCGAAAAAATAACAAATTTGATCTATAACATACAGTGTGTTTATGTAGTGTATAGTGTGAGTTTTGATGTTTAATTCAGATTTAAAAATGTTAAATGTAAAAAAACACTGTTGCTAAAACATTTAAAGTGCATTTACACATTGCTTTTCTTGTTCATTTTTTGATTAACAACTCATTAACAAAACTACATTTTAAACAATAATTACACAGTTTTGGATGTTTACTTATTTGTCAGTTTGAAAAATGATTATTTACATTTTTTATATTTGAAATAAATATATATAGATATCTCTATTTTTTTGAGTTTGAAAAACAATATTACAGTGACCTTGCTGCCATTTTTAAATATCACAGATTATTTGAATCTTTTGCCCTTAAACAAATAATGTTTTTTCCTGGTCCAGCATATAATTTTGTTTGTTAGAAAATGGTCAAGTCTGGTCAAGTATTTTAGATGTTTTCCTAAAGCGTCTGGAGCAGGTAGTTTGCATTTGTAGCAAGGTCGGCATTAAAGGGTTAGTTCACCCAAAAATGAAAATTCTGTCATTAATTACTCACCCTCATGTCGTTTCAAACCCGTAAGACCTTTTTGATGGAATCTGAGAGCTGTCTGACCCTGCATAGACAGCAACGCAACTGAAATGTTCCCAAGACCAAGAACGTAGCAAGGAGATCTGTAAAATAATCCATGTGACATCAGTGGTTCTTCCGCAATTATACGAAGCTACGAGAATACTTTTTGTGTGCAAAAGAAAAAAAAACAACAACTTTATTCAACAATTCGTCATCTCGGCATCACCCTGGTGCCATTTTGGAGCTGATATTCTCCAAAATGACACCAGGGTTATGCGGAGGAGACGAATTGTTGAATAAAGTCGTTATTTTTTTCCTAGCTACGTTTCTGGACTTGGGAACATTTCAGTTGCGTAGCTGTCTATGCAGGGTCAGACAGCTCTCGGATTCCATCAAAAATATCTTAATTTGTGTTCCGAAGATGAACGAAGGTCTTATGGGTTTGAAACGACATGAGGGTGAGTAATTAATGACAGAATTTTCATTTTTGGGTGAACTAACCCTTTAAGCCTTGCTAAATAGCAGAGACTAAGAGTGAAGGTTTTTTTTTTTTAATAAATGTGAAGATATTTTTTTTCCGTCTGCTTTCATCTATTTTCGGTGCAGTTATTTTGTGTGGTTTTGGTAGACTGTTTTCCACAAACTCTGCTGTTAATTCAGGGCACTCTCTGAAAGTATAAATCTTGAAAGCCAAATGACACCTACTACACAGCTCTCCTCAGCTCGCTTGTTTTTAATCTTTCGGCCTTGCAGATATTTCACAACTTTACAACTGCCACTCTTAATCTGCAATCTCACTTTCTTCTTCTCGTTCTCCCACTCAATTACTCTTTTCCTCACTGGCTCTCCCACACACCTCGTTCGGTGGAGGACCCCCTCCCCAGACAACCTTTGAAATGCTGGCGCAGTGGCTGGCTATCCCTTATCACTTATTTGTTTCCTTTCTTATGAAAACAGAGTAGCGCTGCTGCAGGTGACCCCCTGCACCACATGAACTCAACCAGACGCTTTTCCCGGAACATCCCCGGAATGGTCTGGGTGGCCTCACCTGAACCGGGCTGTTGATAAACTGAATAGACAGCGTTTCGGACAGACACTGTTCATTAAGTCTGTGCACTGTGGAAACAAGTGTGCTTAGGCATTTTGTGTGTGTATGATCTGATGGCAGATAAGGAAGTCTCAATTCAGGCTCCATTCACTGGTTAGGTCAGATTCTACATGCAATTTACACTCAATTACTCTGTGTGTCCTAATCAGGAGTGACATGATTCTAGCAAGAAGTAATTTGTCTGTTCACAATGAAAGAGAAAGCTGCACAAGAACATGCAACCAGAACAAATTTGCTCTATAATATACAGTATAGTAATGTGCAGTGTGATTTTGATGTTTTATTTAATTCATGTTTAAAACTGTTGTTAAATGTACAATTACCATTCCAATTTTTTATGTTGTTGAATGAAGTTTATTTTGCTCAACAAGGCTGCATTTATTGGATCAAAAATACAGTAAAACAGCAATATTGTGAAATATTACAATTTTAAATATATATTTTCTATTTTCATATATTTTAAAATGTAAGTTATTCCTGTAATGACAAAAAGTCCAGTCTTAATGTCACATGATCCTTCAGAAATCATTCTAATATGCTGATTTGATGCTCAAAAAACATTTCTTATGAGCAATTTTTAGAGGAGTCTTTGATGAAAATAAATTTAGAATGAACAGCATTTATTTGAAACAGAAATCTTTTGTAACAGTGTAAATATCTTTACTGTCACATTTTTATCAATTAAATGCATCCTTGCTGAATAATAGTATTAATTATTTTCTGAAGAAAATAAAATTTTACTGACCACAAACTTTTGAGTGGTAGTGTAACAAACAATGCATTTAATACATAAAACAAGACATTTCTGCATTTTCATGAAGCATTTACAAATAGCTTTTCTTCATCCATTTGCGTGTTAAACATTTCAACTCATTAGCTAAACTACATTTAAAAAAAAAAAAAAAAAAACAGTATTAGATGTTTATCTATTTGTAGGTTTGTGAGTTATTTACATTTTTATATTTGAATGAATACATTCAAAAATAAACAGGTGTAGATTTGTTTGAAAAATGATTTGTTTTTAATTGTTTTATTTACAAATTATCTGAATTATTCAGTTGATATTTGAGTTCTTCAGTTATTTGAGTTTTCTTTACATGTAAAGACTTTATCAGCATTATAGAGAGATGAGAGAAAAGCCATATTCATTCATTTTGCATTGCATTGTAATTTTTTTTCTAATGAGCTAATTAATAATATTGACTTCTACAGTCATGCAAAGCTGAAAGTAGCTACATGTCTAACTGCATTGTTACAGCGGCCTCATGCTGTGCCAGAAGAGTAGAGCACAAAACATTTTGACTTGCTAATGAGTGTTTGTGTGTGTTTTCGCAGACATGCCCATCTTTGGCCAATGTCCTGCCCAGGATGACTTCTACCTGGTCATGTGCAGCCACTGCAGTCAGGTAGTCAAACCCCAGGCCTTCCAAGCACACTACGGTAAGAACATCACCTGCTCTCCACAGCTGACTCACTCTCTGTGTTTCTCTCTCTCTGCCGTCTTTAATGGAGGTGTTTTCGAAAAATCTTAAGACAGAAATCCCTCCCGCCCCCACCTCTGCTCTGCCTTAACTGTCATAGCATGAAGAGGGAAGAACACAAGCCTTTGATACCCACCGCCAGAGTTCTGTTTACTATCCTCAAGTTAATATTTGATGTGCTCTTTTTAGTTGGCACGTCTGTGCTGTTTTATCCAATCTAGATCATGTAAAACCTCCCGTAAGACGTCAGAAGTTTTCAGGAATAAAAAATAAAATCACTCCCATTTCAGCAAACCTCTGATCTGTATTTTGAGGAAAATGACTTGCGAGGATTTTACTTATTTATTTTTGAGCCATTTAAAACTTCTCAGCAGGGGTTTAACACTGTAGCATTTGTTTTAGCATATGAACATTACAAATTATTCTGCCAAAATGCTCAAATTTGAGAATGTTTTACAAATTTCAAGAAATTGCTGTTAATCATATGGTTGTATTGTAGGAGAGAGCTCTTAATGGAGCTGGGATCTTTTTCTTGTGTACTGCTTTGTTTCAGCTCTGAACATAATAATTAAGCTTGAACGAAAGTCTCCATTACCAGATGATGAATCAATTTGTTTTTTAAGATACTGTAGTGATAGTAGGTGTTCACTTGGATCATTATTTCAGCATTGACCACAAGGGGGAGCCAAAATGTCTTTAAATCCCAGTGGCAAATTATTTGGTGCTTTTCAGCATGCTGTAAAGTAGGTCAACAGAAAGAAAGATAAATAAATACAAAAAAAATCTAAAAACGTTCTAATGTGAAGTGCATACGGCTGTTTTAATTTACTAAATATGTTGTCTGCATATGCTGTGTGTTTGAAAGTGAAGGAGCCACATTTTATTGTTACTCGAACATGCATCTAGCTTGGTTTGCTTTGAGTCTGCAGAGCCACATCCAATGAAATGCAAAACGCCTTAGGTTTAACTTTTATTGTTAACAACATTTTGTCTGCCATTTCAATGAGATTTTATTGCCTTTAGATCTGTTGTGCCTAATATTGAAGTTGTAGCAATATGGGTTATTCGTTTTCTATCACTGTCACAGTTCAAAACATAAGTACAGCATTTTATTTTTAGAATAATTTAAATAGTTTTAAAATTAATGAAATTTTAAAAATTTAACATTTCTTTTAAAAAGTAGTTTAATTTTCCTTTTAAAACTTGTAGCATATATGCATACGTTTTTTCCAAAAAATTTTGGTCGTTTAACATCTTCCTAATATGCGGATATTTTAGTTACTCTCAAAGCAACATGTTTGGTGTACATAAACGTTCATGAACCCTTAATGACACTGCACCTGTTGTCAGGCTATCTGGACCCAAAATGAAACTGTTATTTGATTGGAAGATTTCCTGTGGCCATAACTGAATCCAAAAACATGTCACAGGACTGAGAATTTGCGCAGATTGTGAAAGTTGCAGCACTCTCTCTCGAGAGCCAAAACATATTGACATCAGTGCGCTTGACGCTCTGTTCAGCTTCCAGAAGATCAGTTTTTCAGAACTGCATTGATGTTTTAATATTCCACAGTATGATCTGTTTATTGCACTCAGACTGAGCCAGTTCTGCTGTTTTTTTTAAGAGATCATCATTACACAATCACACAAATGTTATGAACACTAGGACTCTTTTATTCTAGAAACTAAAAGATTAATGAGCAGATTAACTACACAGACCATGAAACTTTTAAATGCTCAAGTGCTTGACTAATAGCGTAGGGAAGAATCTAGTTCTGGCAAGTGCTTATCCAAGATGAGGATTAATAAATCATAATGAGCTGAAGCAAGCTGTGGTACTAAGGAATATGTGTTGCAATGCAAACTACATATGAATCTGCAGTCTGAAAGTTAAGTATATTTTAAAAGTGATTTCTAAAAGGATTGGCCATAGTAACAATTTAAAGTCATATTTTTGTGTATATATATATATATATATATATATATATATATATATCCTATTTTTATATTTATTTTTAATATAAGTT